AGCTGTTGAGGATTTTTGCATCTATGTTCATGAGATAGATTGGTCTAGTTTTCTTTTTGTGCAATATCTTTGTCTGGTTTGGATATTAGAATAATCCTGGCCTCATAGAATGAGTTAGGAGTATTCCCTCTGCTTTGGTCTTCTGGGAGAGTGTAGAGAATTGGTATAATTTCTTCCTTGAATGTTTGGTGGAGTTCACCAGTGAATCCATAGGGCCTGGTACTTTCTTTTTTGGAAGGTTATTAGTTACTGATTCAATTTCTTTAATAGCTATAGACCTATTCAGATTGTCTGTTTCTTCTTGTGTGAGTTTTGACAGATTGTGTCTTCTGAGGAATTGGTTCAATTCATCTAGGTTATCAAATTTGTGGGCATAGAGTTGTTCATAGTATTCCTTTATTATCCTTTTAATGTCTATGGTGTCTGTAGTGATGTCCCCACTTTCATTTCTGATATCAGTAATTTATATCTTCTTTTTTTCTTAGCCTGGCTAGAGGCTTGCTGCCTTTTTTTTTAAAAAGGATCTTAACAGTTTTTAAGCATATGGTATTACATACAGTATCAGCATACAGTTAACTATACTCACATTGTTGTACAGTAGATCTCTAGAACTACTGTACAACTGTTGCATCTTGTAAAGCTGAATCTCTATACTTACTGAACACCAATTCCCCATTTTTACCTCCCCCCAGTAAAGACTTACTAATTTTATAGAGAACTAGCTTTTGATTTTTTCTCTTGATATCCAGTTTTCAGTTTCATTGATTTCTGCTCTGAGTTTTACGATTTCTTCTGTGGATTTAATTTGCCATCTGCCCCTCCAGTTTTCAGTGGTGGAAGTTTAGGTGATTGATTTAGATCTTTTCTGATATATAGAAATGGCATTCTCATATAGCATTCAATGATATAAATTTCTCTCTAAGTACTGCTTTCAGTGTCCCTCACATTTTGATAAGTTGTATTTTTATTTTCATTTAGTTCATTTTATCTTTTAATTTCTTCTGAGACTTCTTTGATTCATGTGTTATTTGGAAGTATGTTGTTTAATATCCAAGCATTTGGGGATTTTCCAACTATTTTTCTGTTACTGATTTCTAGTTTAGTTCTGTTGTGGTCTGAGAGTGTTTATTATATGATTTTCTGTTCTTTTACATTTGGGAAGTTGTGTTTTATGGCCCTGAATGTCATCTGTCTTGGTGAATGCTCCATGTGAGATTGAGAAGTATTAGTGTTTTGCTGTTGTTGGATAAAGTAGTCTATTGATTGCAATAGCTTTTTTTTTAAATAAATTTATTATTTATTTTTGGCTGTATTGGGTCTTCATTGCTGTACATGGACTTTCTCTAGGTGCGGTGAGCAGGGGCTGCTCTTCATTGTGGTGTGCAAGCTTCTCATTGCGGTGGCTTCTCTTGTTGCAGAACACAAGCTCTAGGCACTCGGGCTCAGTAGTTGTGGCTCACGGGCTCTAGAGCACAGGCTCAGTAGTTGTGGCGCATGGGCTTAGTTGCTCCGTGGCATGTGAGATCTTTCCAGACCAGGGCTCAAACCCGTGTCCCCTAGCATTCGCAGGCAGATTCTTAACCACTGCACCACCAGGGAAGTTCCACAATAGCTTTCTTATTGGATTGATTGTAGCCTGACCCTTATCCAGTCTGTATTTCAGATGGTTCCTATAGTGATCTTTCCAAAACGATATTTATACTTATCACTCCCCTACCAAAACTTTTTCAGAGGTTTCTTATTGCTAAACAGCTGAAATGTATTTTGCTTGGGCTGAAAGGGCCTGTGATCAGGTCTCTTCTTATCTTATCCAGCCCCTGTGTACAGTGCTTCAAGCCCCTCTCCCCGCTTCATACTTTAAGTACACTGAAATTACATTAGTTGCCCAGGTCCAATATGATTTTTTCTGTTACTTCTGTACATGTTGTATATACCTGTAATACTCTTTGTTTGGCAGTCTACTGTTTTTCACTTCTCAAAACTTTCTTTTGTGTAATTTTCATTATAGTAACTAACTTATTTTTCATTTCTTGGCTTGCAGGACCCTGAGGTCTCTTTTCTGGAACCTGTATTTTAACTTTGTGTTCTCAGTAACTGGGCTGTGGTAGGCAGTCAGATATTTTTTGAGTGAAAGAAATTTTTTTTAATTGAGAAAAAGTTTAAATTGAAATGCTGTGAGATCCTAAGTTTATAGTTTAGAGTTTTGACAACTGCATAAACTTGTATAACCCACAAGGCATCAAGGTACAGAATATTTTCATCATCCTAGAAAGTTTGTGTTTCTTACTGGTCAGTTCACTCCACAACAGTTGTTGTGGGTTTTTTCCCCCCATCATAGATTAGTGTTGTCCTTTGAGAACTTTATGTGAATGGAATCATATGTAACTCTTGTGTCCAGCTTCTTTTTTTTTTCCACTATAGAATATCAATTTTATTTGAAAAAATTCTAATATAGAACTAAATAGGGACTTCCCTGGTGGCACAGTGGTTAAGAATCCGCCTGCCAGTGCAGGGGACACAAGTTTGAGCCCTGGTCCAACATGCCGCAGAGCAACTAAGCCCGTGTGCCACAGCTACTGAGCCTGCGCTCTAGAGCCTGTGAGCCACAACTACTGAGCCCTCGGGCCAAAACTGCTGAAGCTCATACTCCTAAAGCCCATGCTCCGCAACAAGAGAAGCCACCGCAATGAAAAGCCCTTGCACCGCAACAAAGAGTAGCCCCCAGTCGCCGCAACTAGAGAAAGCCTCTGCGCAGCAACAAAGAAAATAAATAAATAAAAATTTTAAAAAAGAACTAAATAGCTGTAACATCAGTATTTTTCACCTAGTTTTTACTTACTAATTGAAAAGTAACTGAAACAATGTAAAATAATAATTGCTTTTCCTGTGGATAAGTATATTAAAAAGTAACATTCATCTTCACAAAGTGTGCATTCCTATGTGTTATAGTATAATACCACAAGTTAGAGACTGATTGAGGGTTTCATTTGTCAGGTGTTGGTGCTGAACACCTCAAGCAGTAGTCTGTTGTGATGCATTTTAAATTAATTTTCAGTTGCATTAGAAAGAGAATGATGGCTTGGTTATTTAGTTGTCACACTAATGAAGTAGGTCTTTTAAAATTTCTTCTCCAGCTTCTTTTGCTCAGCATAGTGTTTTTGCAGTTTTTCATGTTGGTTGGGTGTATAAGTAGTTCATCCCTTTTCATTGTTGATTAACATTCTGTTGTTTTATTATCCTAAAATTTTGTTTATTTATTTCCTTCTTTATGGTTATTTATTATCTCTAGTTTTCAACCTTTATGGATAAAGCTGCTATGAACATTGTTGTGCAAGTCTGTTTTCATTTCTTTTGGGTACATTTTTATAGAAGTTAAACTATTTCTCTTCTGTTTTCATTTTGTTTCATTTAGTGTCTATCTTTGCATTAGTATTACTCTTTTATTTTAAATTAATTTTTGTTGGAGTATAGTTGGTTTACAATGTTGTGTTAGCTTCTACTGCACAGCAAAATGAATCAGTCATACATATACATACATCCCCTCCCTTTTGGATTTCCCTCCTGCATCAGTATTGCTCTTGATAGCTGTATTTTTTTAATATAAATTTATTTATTTGTTTGTTTATGGCTGCGTTGGGTCTTTGTTGCTCTGTGTTCAAAAAATTTTCAATGTGTAATTGTTCATAACTAGTATATAGAAATGCAGTTGATTCTTTTTATATTGACCATGTATTCTGTGATCATGTTATATATACCTGTTAGTTCTAGTAAGATTCCTTAGGTTTATTCACAGTCCCTATTATCCATAAATTTTACATCTTCCTTTCCAATCTAACTTCTTTTTTCTTCCTTATTGTATTGACTAGGCCTCCAGTACAGTGTTGAATAGAAGCGGTAAAAGTAGACATCTTTGCTTTTTTCCTGATCTTTAGGGGACTGCATTCAGCTTTTCACCATTAAGAATTACTTTAGCTATAGATTTTTCTTAGGTGATCTTTATTTATTAGGTGGAAGAAGTTTTCCTTCTAGTTTGTTGAAATTTTTTAAAACTATGAATGGATGTATAACTTCATCAATATTTTTTCTGCATCTGTTAGATGATTATATGATTCCCCCCCTTTTTTAAAAATAAATTTATTTATTTTTGGCTGCGTTGAGTCTTCGTTGCTGCACGCGGGCTTTCTCTAGTTGCGCCAAGCGGGGGCTACTCTTCATTGCAGTGTGCGGGCTTCTCCTTGCGGTGGCCTCTCTTGTTGCAGAGCACGGGCTCTAGAGCGCAGGCTCAGTAGTTGTGGTGCACGGGCTTAGTTCCTCTGCGGCATGTGGGATTTTCCTGGACCAGGGCTTGAACCCTTGTCCCCTGCACTGGCAGGCGGATTCCCAACCACTGCGCCACCAGGGAAGTCCCTCCTCCCTTTTCTTAATATAGTGAATTTATTGATTGAATTTCAAATGTTAAATCAACCCTGCATTCCTGGGATAAACCACACTTGGTCATGATGTGTCATCTTTTTTATAAGTTGCTGGATTCAGTTTACTAATTTTTTTAAAAGAATTTTTTTGTGTATGTTTATGAGGGATACTAGTTTTCTTGCAGGCTTTGTTTTAAGTATACTGGCCACATTAAAAATGGGGTAGGAAATAGTTCCTTCTCTGTTTTCTGTAAGAGTTTGTGTAAGATTGGTATTATTTCTATCATACATATTTAGTAGACTTCACCAATAAAGCTAATCTTTGGCTGAGTTTTCTTTGTGGGAAAGTTTTTACTTCCAAATATAATTTTTAAAACATGTAAGGCTACTCAGATTTTAAATTTTATTCTTTTTTTTTTTTGCGGTACGCGGGCCTCTCACTGTTGTGGCCTCTCCCGATGCGGAGCACAGGCTCCGGACGCGCAGGCTCAGCGGCCATGGCTCACGGGCCCAGCTGCTCCACGGCATGTGGAATCTTCCCGGACCGCGGCACGAACCCTTGTCCCCTGCATCGGCAGGCGGACTCTCAACCACTGCGCCACCAGGGAAGCCCTTAAATTTTATTCTTGATTTAGTTTTGATAAATTATATTTTTCAAGGGATTTGTTCATTCTTTTATTTTTTAATTGAACAAAAATATTTATAATCTTTTCTTAATTCTTTTATTGTCTAAAGGATTTGTAATAATTTCTCTTTTCACATTCCTGATAGTGCTAATTGTCTTTTTCTTGATTAATCTGGGTAGAGGTTTATCAGTTTTACTGGTCTCTTCAAAGATTAAGGTTTGGTTTTATTGAGCTCACTATCGTTCATTTGAACTTTCTTTCATCTTTACTCTCATTTATTTCTTTCCTTCTGCTTACTTTATTTTTAATTTGCTCTTCTTTTCGTAGCTTCTTAAAGTAGAAGTTTAGATGACTGTTTTAGACCTTTCTTTGTATACATGTAGGTAAGTGTAACTACCATGACTCTCAGGATACAGAACATCATACCAAAGATCTTCCTGATGCTACCCCTCTGTAGTCACACCTCTTCTTGTTACCCCCACCATTCCTAACCCCTGGCTATCCTACCCTAATCTGTTTTCCATCTCTAAAACTTTGTCATATTGAGAATATTATATCATGGAATCATATAGTATGTGACCTTTTGAGACTGACTTTTTTCACTTAATGCCCTTGAGAGCCATCTGAGTTGTTGTATATATCAATTCTTTGTTCTTTTTAATTATATAGTAGTATTCCATGGTATGGTTGTACCACAGTTTAAACATTCACTTATCGAGAGACATTTTAATTGTTTCCATGTTTTGGCTATTACAAATAAAGCTGCTGTTAACATTCGTGTGTAGGTTTTTGTGTGAGCGTAGGTGTACGTATCTCCAGGATAAATACCTTATCATACCCCTGCCACTGGATATAATCACTCCTAACATTTTGGTGTATGTTCTTCAGTGCTTCTTTGATATGCCTACCATGCATAGGGTCATGTTGCTTTTTATCTATTCTTTCCATTTACCAGCATGGTTTGCACTTTTCTCAACTCCTTACTCTTCTAATACTTCTTAAATACCTGCTTGATATTCCAAATTTTGGATAGTCCATAATTGAGTCCTGTTACTCGTAACAGATGATGATAAATTTGAGTCCCTTGTGAGAATGAATCAATGAAAAGTTGTCTCATACTGTATACCAAATGGCAGAATTTAGGATTTGTGTAATACTGCTTTATAGTAGTACATAACAGACATGAGACATTTTGTCCCTTACTTACTACTTATGCATTCCTGCTGATAAGGCAAAGTGGTGAAGGGCAGGTCTTGGGATCATGAATATACATTTTTGAGTTAAATAGAGGGCATTGATGTAGAACAGTATGATCCAGGTCCCCCAGAATGTGAAAGCTTAAGCTACATGGCCTTTCATCCTTTCTAGATTGTGTGCTAAAAGTCTTTTAAAAATAGATATTGAACATATAAGTGTTTTTTCCTTTTATTTGCTCATTCACTTGTAAGTCACAAAGAACTTTATTTCATATTAACTTTTTTTTGTTAATTCAAAACAAAAAGTTGAGTTTTGTGTTTTCTTAAACTGTTTGTTAATAACAGTTTAGGTTCTGTAGCCTATGTAAACACCCTATTGTTTCGTGACAGTTGAAGTAAAAGTTTTCCATTTGTGGTAACTGCTGGTTTTCAGGATTTATCTTGACCTTACTACTCTCAATCAATCACCCAGCTTCAACTCTGTGGCTCTACATTTTCAACAGCAGTCTGAAGTCTGCAGGCCAACCTTTTTTAAAATTTTAAATATTTTATTTATTTATTTTTGGCTGCGTTAGGTCTTCGTTGCCGTGCACGGGCTTTCTCTAGTTTTGGCAAGTGGGGGCTATTCTTTGTTGCGGTGCGCGGACTTCTCATTGCGGTGGCTTCTCTTGTTGTGGAGCACGGACTCTAGGCAGAGGGGCTTCAGTAGTTGCGGCAGTCGGGCTCAGTTGTTGTGGCTCGTGGGCTCTACAGCGCAGGCTCAGTAGTTGTGGCGCATGGGCTTAGTTGCTCCGTGGCGTGTGGGATCTTCCTGGACCAGGGCTCAAACCCGTGTCCCCTGCATTGGCAGGTGGATTCTTAACCACGGCGCCACCAGGAAGTCCTGCAGGCCAACTTGTGAATGTCCGTAGTTTGCTCATTAGAACTTTGTTTTCAGAGATGTTAGAAATTTGAATTAAAATGAGCTAAAACTAATATTTCAGTTCCTCAGTTGCATTAGCCACATTTCAAGTGCTCAGTAGCCACATGTGGTTAATGGCTTCTGTATTAGCATAGATAAAGAATATTTCCATCATTGCTGGAAGCGTTATTGGATAGCACTGTGTTAGAAAGCTTCTCAACTCAAAAACTAAATCTATTTCAGAAACTTGAAAAAAAGTATTTGGCTTATCCTTTTAATTCTTACACCCATAGAAGAGGGATTGGGAACTTTATAGTCTATATTTTTCCAGTTTGATATCAAGTATGTTGAAGAGTAAAGGACATGTTTGTATTGACAAAATAGAACAAACTGTCATTCGTAACGATATATGCCACATTTGTTTTCTAGAAGGCTATTGGATTGTACTTGAACGAAAGGATTTTATAAATTAGGAGCTATAAAAAATCATGTTCTAGTGATTTGATGATATAATAAAGTGTAAGTTATTTCAGGTATTTATGACTCCTGAAAAAATATACTTCAGCGCTTGTGTAGCTTTTTAATTTTAGTCATGAATTTCTGTGCTGTAAAACAGCATGAATAAAATTGTAGACATCCTTTTATGCATTTAGTATTTATGATTATTTTGTTTAATGGTCTAGGAAACTCAAAGACTTATTTAGCCCTTGCTTTAAGACCTCTCTTTTGTTTTTAGTTTTAAAATTGCCTTAAATCCTGTCACTAGTTTAAGGAGAATTGTATAGATATTTCCCCAAATACATGTTGCTCCAGTCAATAAAACTCCAATATGCTGTTGCTAGGAATTTGAGTATATGTCCTGTAATGAGTGACTTTTCCTCTCCTATTTAACAACAACAAAAATAATAATCATTTTATCCATGTCAGTGATTTTAAGATACTTAACTATTTTTGCCACATATTTTATACTCTGTTTTAGTTGCCGGATTGTATTACATTTATTGGTAACAAATGATCTTTCACAATCATCCTAGAAGGTGACAAGTCTGTGTGGCTCTATTTATTTGCTTAAATAGTCATTGGTAGGATATGTTTCTTCCTCTCTTTCTGGCTAACTCCCAACTTGTTATCCCTATGACATTGTATACTTTTTCAACAAAGTTATTTATTCGTTGTAGCCAGTTCTTATTACCATTGTATTTCTTTTAAAGTTCGTTTGGGGGACTCAGAAGTAATTTTATGTTCCTTGCAGCTTGGGTCCTTGTCTTTTGAGGCGATTGCATTGGCTTTTATTGGGTCTGTATACTTAAAGAGGTACTCCCCCCACCCGCATTCAAATGCTTTTTACTTCAGCATACTCTTCGGCTGTCATTTTCAGAAACACATTTATTAATTGAGCTCATTTTAAAGAAAATATATGGTAATTTATATCAGTTCTCTAGGGTTTTTATTTTAAACAAGATTTTACTTGCTTGTATGGCGCTTAGAAAGTGTCCTATTTGATAGGAAATCAATATTTTAGCAGAAAATATGGAGTGAGTAATCTTGCTTTATAGTTTTTCCTGGTGATAGTCATATTATTGCTTATTGTTACTGATTTCAACTCACCTGGCAGGTCGATGAATCAAGGTACCTCCACTAGTAGGTTGTTTTAGAGAGCTAACCCAGAATGGTCTATTTTTCAGTATCCTCCAGTGCTCGTAAAGTTGTTGGACTCAATTTATCTTTTTCTTTTCCCCTTAGGTGGACATAAATTGTTAATAGAAGATTTCTTTTTGGATTCTTTAATAACATAGCCAGTCTCCTAACACTTTTCATATAGTTCTGCCTGATCTTTGATGTCTAATTGCTTGGTTTGGAATTGTGAGATAGTGGTACTGAATGAGAATTACACTCTTTCTTACATCAAGTAGTGCCCAGATTGTAAATCATTATAGACAAGGCTGTGATAGGGTCATTCTAGCTAGATCAGTCTCAGAGATGTCTACTTGGGGTTTTTTCATAATTGTATGATGAAGTTTATTATAAAAGGACTACATAGTCCTTATAAAAATTAAAATAGTATAGAAGAGAACAAAGAAAAAAGTAAAAGTTCCTTGTTTCCTACTCTGATTCCAAAGAGATAACCACTAAGACTGATATCCTGGAAATTTTAAATTTATAACAAACGTACAGAATATGTGTCTGTATTTATTTCTATATAATGTGTTTTGTAAATATATATCTTATGAAAATATACATTTTGTTTTATACAAATTAGATGTTATTTTTATATACTTCTGAAATTTGCATTATTCATTTAATAACATTTTGTAGAAATTTCCATGTTATTGCATATAAAGCTTATTTATTTTAATGAATGATTAAATGACGTGCCTTATTTTATTTAACCGCTCCCCTATTGATGGATATTTGTTATTACTAGATTTGTTTGAATGAAATAATGATGAAAGGATCATGCTTATATATATAGATATCTATATACACAAGCATGTTTCTTGTATCTATCTATATGTCTACATATTTGTAAAGCTCTTTCTCTAGGTATATGTCTTTTTATTGAAATACAGCATTCATACAGAAAAGTGCACAAATTGTAAGTCACGAATTTCCTCAAAAATGAACATACATGTGTAACCGATACATTAAGACATAGAACATTATCAGTATCCCAGAGGCCCTCCCCTTCTTGTATCCCTTTTAGTCACAACCCTCCTCTAATTCCTAAAGATACCCCTGCCTAAACACTTTTATCATGGTCAATTAGCTTTACCTGACTTTGAATTCAGTATAAATAGAATCATGTACTATCTACTCTGATGTCTGATTTCTTTGTTTTACATTTTTTATGAGGTATGTCCATGTTATTGCATAGGTAGTTGTTTATTCTCATTTCTGTATAATTGTCAGTTGTGTGAATGTATCAAAATTTATTCATTCTAGTATATCTAATATAATAGCCATCTTGTTTCAAGATGTTGGCTGTTCTGAAAAGTGCTCTTTTGTTTTGGCTGTGCCAAGTGGCTTGCAGGATCTTAATTCCCCGACCAGGGATTGAACCCCGGGCCCTGGCGGTGAAAGCTCTGAGTCCTAAACCACTGGACTGCCAGGGAATTCCCTGCTGTGTATATTCATGGCTGTGTCTTTCGGTGCAAGTGCACACTCATTTCTGTTGGTTTTATGCTGCTTAGGATTGAGTTTGCTGGGTATGAATATGTTCAGCTATAGGAATTTCTGTCAGAAGTTTTTCTCAATGGTTTTGCCAATTTATACTAATTGCTCTGTATCCTTGGTATCTGTTAGGTTGCATTTCACTGATAACTAATGAAATTGAGTGCCTTTCATGTTTACTGACAATTTGGATATTATTTTTTTGTAAGGTACTTGTTCATCTTTTGCCCATTTTTCTATTAGGTTTCTTTCTCTTATAGATTTGTAATAGTTCTTTATATATTTATTGGATATATATATATATATCAGTTAACTTTTCCACTCTTCCGCTCTGATTTGCCTCTTTACTCTTTTGATGAACAGAAGTCAGTGTTAATGAAGTTCAATTTATGTCTTTTCCCTTTGGTGTTTTGTGTATCCTATTTAAGAATTCTTTGCCTGCCCCAAGGTGATGAAGTTACTTTCCTTTGTTAACTTCTAGAAACTTTGATTTTCCTTTTCCATTTAGATTAACAATCCGTTTGGAATTGATTTTTGCTGATGATGTGAGATAGGGATCAAGATTTACTTGATGGCTTTTTCTTTTTTCCAACTCACCCATAGAAATTTTTTCAGTTTCACTTTGCTGGCTTAATGTTTCATTTCTTAGAATAGCTTAATGCATTAAGATAACAATGAATAGATTTTTCTTTGATTAATACTAGGGATGTGTACTAAGACTGGACTTAATGTCTTTTTAGGATTATAAAGTAACACATGTTTGTTGAGAAAATGTAAAAATTTAAAAACTATAAAGAAGATAATAAAAATTGCTGTAATCTTACTACTCTAGGATAATCACTAACATTTTGTTGTTAATATTTTAGTGTTTCCTTTTTTTGTTTGTTTTCTGCATATGTTATGTTTATATAAAATGTGCTGTATATGTATTTGTGTTTGTGAAAAATTGTAAAAATATATTTATCAACATATTTATCTATATCATTTAACCTCAAACAATGAGCATCTCACTATGTCATTAATATTATTCAAAAGTAAGATTTCTAATTACTGTATGTCATATAGCTGTACTGTAATTTATCTCACTCTTTCTTTACTGGGTATTAGACTGTTCACACTTTATTTATGATCGTAAATAATATTGTGATGTTACATGTAGGCGTTGTTGTCATGTGCGATTATTTCTTCAGTATAGGTTTCTTAAGACTCTTGATTATATACTGGCCAATTTATAGCCCACAAATGTTGATCAATTTATTCTCCCTCTAGTAGTGTATGAGATTCCCAATTTAATGTCTTTTTAAATGATCTGGAGTAGGAAATGTGAAATATAATTTCCAGATTTGTACGTGATATTGAGAAAAAAGGAAAACAACTGGACTTGGTCTTGGGTTGGGAGTGGAGAAGAAAATTAAAAGATGTCTTTAGATGGGAGACTGGGATATAATACAGCATATTGAAAGGCACGGGGAAGAAAAGAAAGGCAGGGAGTTTGGAAGGAGGTTCTGATGTGAAAAAAGGTTTTATTTTTAGCAGTATTGAGTTTTAGATAATAGGATGTCTAAGTGGAGATGTCTGTAGAAATTGGTAATCTTCTATGTATCTAAGCAATTACACATCTGCAGTTGTGTAATAATAATTAATAACCATAGATATTTATTTAGAACTTGAAGGTTTTCAGGGTGCTTTTTATGTAATCTCATTTGATTTTCTGATGTGTATAAGCTGGATATTATTATACCACTAATAAACAGATGAGGAAATGATTATGATAATCAGTAACATCAAAAAATCAACTATATATTGCTATGTACTATAGTTGATGCTTTACATATATAATCTCTTTTAACTCTACAGAAGTTCCGTGAGGAATATTCCCTCCATTTATAGGTGAAGAAAGTTCCAAATGATTAAATTTTAGTTGTTTACCCTCATGCTGCTAGTATTACTCTTTGGGATTAGACTGTATTTCTTTTAACTCCCAACCTGTGCTTTTTTTATTTTTCCGTGCTACTTATGGAAGCCAAGTTTACCCAATAATAATTGGAAGAGAAGGGATTGAAACTCAAGTCTTAACACTTCAATAAATATTGTTGACATTTTGTCCACTTAATTTTTTTAAAAATTATTTCTTTTCTCTTGAACCACTAGAAGTTCTTTCCACATTTTGGCAGCAACCTAACTATAGTTTATATAAGGGAAAATGAAATATGTTTGTGTAAAAATCTTTTTAAATAAGTTTGATTAATTTAGATTTTTAAGAAGCAGTTATATTGGGTTGGCCAAAAGGTTCATTCGGTTTTTTCCGTAAGATGGTCTAGTAGCACTAAGTTGTCTTTAACTTCATTCGAAACAATTTTGTTTGATTGTATTGTGACAGCTGTCATATCAGTATGCATTAAAAAAATATATCAAAATTGGTGAATTTTTGTGTAGCCATTTTAATATTGGAGATGGAAGAAAAAAAGCAACATTTTTGGTGTATTATGCTTTATTATTTCAAGAAAGGTAAAAACCCAACTGAAATGCAAATGGAGAAGGTGCTGTGACTGATTGAACGTGTCAAAAGTGGTTTGCGAAGTTTCCTGGAGATTTCTCCCTGGACGATGCTTCTCGGTTGGGTAGACCAGTTGAAGTTGATAGTGATCACATCAAGACCTTAATTGAAAACAATCAATGTTATACCACGAGGGAGATAGCCGACATACTCAATATATCCAAATTAAGCTTTGAAAATCATTTGCACCAGCTTGGCTATGTTAATCACTTTGATATTTGGGTTCCACATAAGTTAAGTGAAAAAAACCTTTTTGACTGTATTTCCGCATGCGATTCTCTACTTTTTTGGGGAAGCTTTTTGGTTTTTTTTGTGTGTGTGTGGTATGTGGGCCTCTCACTGTTGTGGCCTCTCACGTTGCGGAGCACAGGCTCTGGACGCACAGGCTTAGTGGCCATGGTTCACGGGCCCAGCTGCTCTGCGGCATGTGGGATCTTACTGGACCGGGGCACGAACCCATGTCCCCTGCATTGGCAGGCGGACTCTCAACCACTGCGCCACCAGGGAAGCCCTGGGAAGCATTTTTTAAAAATTGACTAATTTATTTTTGGCTGCGTTGGGTCTTCGTTGCTGCGGGTGGGCTTTCTCTAAGTTGTGGCGAGCGGGGGCTACTCTTTGTTGTGGTGCGCCGGCTTCTCGTTGCGGTGGCTTCTCTTGTTGTGGAACACGGGCTCTAGGCGTGCAGGCTTCAGTAGTAGTGGCACGCGGGCTCAGTAGTTGTGGCTCTCGGGTTCTAGAGCACAGGCTCAGTAGTTGTGCACGGTCCTAGTTGCTCCAAGGTGTGTGGAATCTTCCTGGACCAGGGATTGAACTCATGTCCCTTGCATTGGCAGCTGGATTCTTTTTTTTTTTTTAACATCTTTATTGGAGTATAATTGCTTTACAATGGTGTGTTAGTTTCTGCTTTATAACAAAGTGAATCAGCTATACATACGGCAGGCGGATTCTTAACCACTGTGCCGCCAGGGAAGTCCCACGATTCTCTACTTAAACGTAATGAAAACGTTCTGTTTTTAAAGCAAATTGTGATGCGCGATGAAAAGTGGGTACTGTACAGTAATGTGGAACGGAAGAGACTGTGGGGCAAGCGAAATGAACCACCACCAACCACACCAATGGCTGGTCTTCATCCAAAGAAGGTGAGGTTGTGTATATGGTGGGATTGGAAGGGAGTCCTCTATTATGAGCTCCTTCTGGAAAACCAAGCAATTCATTCCAACGAGTACTGCTCCCAATTAGACCAACTGAAAGCAGCACTCATCGAAAAGCATCCAGAATTAGTCAACAGAAAACGCATTATCTTCCATCAGGTTAATGCAAGACTGCATGTTTCTTTGATAACCAGGCAAAAACTGTTACAGCTTGGCTGGGAAGTTCTGATTCATCCTCCATATTCACCAGACATTGCACCTTCAGATTTTCATTTATTTCGGTCTTTACAAAATTCTCTTAATGGAAAAAATTTCAGTTTCTTGGAAGACTGTAAAAGGCACCTGGAACAGTTCTTTGCTCAAAAAGATAAAAAGTTTTGGGAACGTGGAATTATGGAGTTGCCTGAAAAATGGCAGAAGGTAGTGGAACAAAACAGTGAATACATTGTTCAATAAAGTCCTTGGTGAAAATGAAAAACGTGTCTTTTATTTTCACTTAAAAACTGAAGGAGGGCTTCCCTGGTGGTGCAGTGGTTGAGAATCTGCCTGCCAATGCAGGAGACACGGGTTCGAGCCCTGGTCTGGGAAGATCCCACATGCCGCGGAGCAGCTGGGCCCGTGAGCCGCAATTACTGAGCCTGCGCGTCTGGAGCCTGTGCTCCGCAACAAGAGAGGCCGCGATAGTGAGAGGCCCGCGCACCACAATGAAGAATGGCCCCCGCTTGCCACAACTAGAGAAAGCCCTCGCACAGAAACGAAGACCCAACACAGCCATAAATAAATAAATTAAAAAAAAAAATACTGAAGAATCTTTTCGGCCAACCCAATAGTAATGGAAATAACACCAGATTAAGAGATACAAAATCGTGGTTTAAGTCCTAGGGTTGAAATCCAATAGCTTGGGTAAGACACTTACCTCTGTGAAGTTTTAGTTTCTTTATTGGTAACATGAGGATAAAAAATAATTCACAGATAACAGTAAGTAGGATCTCTGTTGCTGGATTTGGAAGACTTGGGTGGAAATTTTTGTTTCCCTTAGGCAAATAACCTTTCTCAGCCTTAGTTTTCTTATTTGTAAAATGGGATGAAAATGCTAACCTCATAGTCTTACTGTAGGATTAAATGCAATAGATTATACAGGATAGAGACCAAGAGCACCCCCCTCCCTCCCTGCATGCCCAACCATTGTATCCTTAGTACCTAGGACAGTGCCTGGTACATAGTAAATGTCAGATAAATCATAGTTACTATGCTGAGGAGGCATCACAAATTGTAGAACACCATACAAATGCTGTTTTTTAAAAAAATTTATTTATTTTATTTTTGGCTGCATTGGGTTTTCATTGCTGCTCACAGGCTTTCTCTAGTTGTGGTGAGCAGGGGCTACTCTTCATTGCAGTGCGTGGGCTTCTCAATGCAGTGGCTTCTCTTGTTGTGGGGCACGGGCTCTAGGCGCGCAGGCTTCAGTAGTTGTGGCACGCGGGCTCAGTAGTTGCGGCTTGCGGGCTCTAGAGCGCAGTCTCAGTAGTTGTGGCACACGGGCTTAGTTGCTCCGCGGCATGTGGGATCTTCCCAGACTAGGGCTCAAACCCACATCCCCTGCATTGGCAGGCGGATTCTTAACCACTGTGCCACCAGGGAAGACCCTGGGTTTTTTTTTTTAATTGAAGAGTAGTTGATTTACAATGTTGTGTTAGTTTCTGGTTTAAAACAAAGTGATTCAGTTATACATATATATGTATATATGTGTGTGTGTTTATATATATGTACATATTCTTTTTCACATTCTTTTCTATATTCTTTTCCCTGTGCTATACAGTAGGATCTTGTTGTTTATTTTATATATAGTAGTTTGTATCTGCCAATCCAAAAGTCCTGATTTATCCCTCCTCCGCTCACTTTCCCTTTTGGTAACTGTAAGTTTGTTTTCTATGTCTCTGAGTCTGTTTTGTAAATAAGTTCATTTGTGTCATATTTTAGATTCCACATATAAGTGATATCATATGATATTTGTCTTTCTCTTTCTGACTTACTTCACTTAGTATGATATTCTCTAGGTCCATCCATGTTGCTGCAAATGGCATTATTTTGTTCTTTTTTTATGGCTGAGTAGTATTCCATTGTGTATATGTACCACATCTTCTTCATCCATTCATCTGTTGATGGACATTTAGGTTGCTTCCATGTCTTGGCCATTGTACATAGTGCTGTTATGAACATTGGGGTGCATATATTTTTTCGAATTATAGTTTTTTCTGGATATATGCCCAGGAGTGGGATTGCAGGATCATGTGGCAACTCTATTTTTAGTTTAGAAAAATTATAAAATAGTTTTTTAAAACTTATTATGAAATAATTTTAGATTTATGAGAAAGTTGCAGAAGTAGTACTGAGTTCACATAATCTCATCACCCAGCTTCCTCTAATATCAAAGCTTATGCAACCATAGTACAGTTATCAAAACCAGGAACTTAATATTGGTAAAATACTATTAAATAAACTACAGACCTTAGTTGAATTTCATCTGTTTTTCCCCTAATATCCCTTTTCTGTTCCAGGATTCAGTTCAGGATTCCACGTTGTATTTAGTTGTATCTTCTTGAGTCTCCACCATTCCATGACAGTTGTTCAGTCTTTGCTTATCTTTTATGACCTTGATAGTTGATGAGTATTGGTTAGTTATTTGTAGAATGTCTCTTAATTTGCGGCTGCCTGATGTTTTCTTTCTTTTTTTTTCTCTTTTTGAAATATTTATTTATTTGACTGTGCTGGGTCTTAGTTGCAGCATGTGGGATCTTCAGTTGTGGCATGTGAACTCTTAGTTGTGGCATGCAGATCTAGTTCCCTGACCTGGGATTGAGCCCAGGCCCCCTGCATTGGGAGTGTGGAGTCTTAGGCACTGGACCACCAGGGAAGTCCCTCCCTGCCTGATGTTTTCTTATGATTAGATTGAAGCTTTCATTTTTCGACAAATTCCACAGAAATATCCTCTTCTCGGTGTATCATATCAGGGACTATAAAATGTGGATGTATGTCTTATTACAGGTGATATTGCACTCTCAGTACTTTGTTAACGTCATATCTGCCAGTTTTTCCCTTAAAGTCACTTTTTTCTTCTTTGTAATTGGCAAATATCTTGTAGGAAATAGTTTGAATCTGCTTAAATATCCTATTTCTACTGAAATTTTTTCCTACCTATTTAAGCATGCATTGGTGGATCCTGCCAGTTGTAGTTATTAATGTAGTGTTTGCCTAAATGTGAATTTGTATTTTCCTCATTCCTTCTATATTTATGTTAATTGTAGCTGTCCCTTCTCTCCATTTAAAAAAATTATTTCCATTTATATCAGGATGGATATTGCCTTATTCTTTGAGTTATAATCTGCTATTGTCATTTATTTTTTTGCTCAAGTTGTTTCAGCTTTGCCTATTGGGAGCTCTTTCAGACAGACCCTTGTGTCCTTTTGACCTGTACTCTAGTTTCTGGCACCACAAGATGTTCCAAGGTCATCGTATAGTTTTCTTTGCCCAGCTTTGAAATCAGTTGCTTCTCCAAGGAGCTCCATTTCCTTTTGTTTGGATAATGGTATTTAGAAACTAAGTTTTGGATGCTAGTTGTGTTGGATTTCATTGCTTCTTAGTGATCTCAGCTGACAGAGCTAGGCAGTACATATGTGCCTACTGACTCACACATGCACACACGTCTATACTAATTTCTTTATGTTGGTTGGGCCCAGGCACCTGTATTGAAAGAAATTGAATGGAGAAAAGGAAGGGAATGCAAAATATAGTTAAGATGTATCTAGCTCAGTGGTTCTCAAAATTTCTGGTCTTGGGGACCCCTTTATTCTTAAAAATATTGAGGACTCTTAACAGCTCTTCTGTTGGTTATATATATCGATATTTACCATTTTAGAAATTAAAACTGAGAAATTTAAAATTTTATTTATTAATTTATCAGTAACAAATCCCATTACATGTTAACATATAGCATATTTTTAATGAAATATAACCCTTTTATAAATAAAAAATTTCGTGAGAATTCGTTTTACAATTTTGCTGCTATATACTCATAAGAGGAGAGTGAAAAAAAAATAGGTATTATAATGGAAGTATTTTTGACCTCATGGAGCACCCCACTGGAAAGGGTGTCAGGGATTTTCAGAAGTCCCCGGACGAAACTTTGAGAGCCACTGATAGAGGTGTACTAAAACTCTTACAAAATAAAGGTACATATATAGTAGAAGGATGGATGCAGAAGAACTTGTGTGAGGAACAGCAAAGAACTTAAACCATGGTGCTATAGAAGTTAAAAGAATAGAATTTCTGGGTAGGTTGGGGGTGGTCAGCACTGTTTCAGGTAAGATAACTTGATTTGATCACTTCTTCCACTTCATCTTATAGTTAATCTAAATTGTAAGATGATCATACAGCAACCAAAATACAAATTTATAATGAGAAATATTATAGAGAAGTACACTAGAATGTTTGTTGTGAACTGTGGGTCCCTGAACCTTTTCAAAAGCAAAAGATAGTTATGGACTTTCTCAGACCCTGACAAATGTAGCTCCTTTCAGAAGTTTGAATGCAGTCGGGTCAGGCAGAAAGGGAGGGTTATGGTTCATGATTCACATAAAGGCCTGTCCATCAATGTGCTGCTTTTCTTCCTGGCCCTATTCTGTGGCTTCGTGAGCTTGGAATTAGAAATCTTCCTGTTGACTGGTTATATGTAGCTGTTCTTTCCAAAACCATCCTGGAAATAAACACGCATACACACAGAGATATATTCTTGGTGTTAAATTTCTCTTTTTCTGGACTCCATGAATACTTCTGAATATTGCTACATTATTTAGGCAGTATATTTGCAGTACAGTTAATTGTTTTATATCTTTCTTTTTACATTTAAACACTTGTGGTACTTGTGGTCACTTTGATTCAATTTGCTTCCTAGGCAGTATTTTGGAACCGTTTCCTTCTAGCGATAGTTACACGTTCTTCTTATATGA